CCGTTCCCGACCAGGCTGACTTCCCAGCCCCAGGCCAAGCCCTGTGGAATTCCACAGGCCAGGAGCTGGTTAGGTGACTTATTGTAGCAAGTCAAGGCTTTTATGTATCAATGCATTAGCAAGTCATAATTTTAAAGGCTATTCTTAACAAGTTGTAAAAGACAGTGCTGCTCCACATCCTTTTATTTTTTTTAAAAAAAAAAAAAAATCCCTAACAAAGCTGGTTTTTTTGTGCATGAACCCCATCTAAAGCTCTCCTATAGCTTGGGTCTCCAGCATGAAACCAGCATTTTTGACAACATTCTTAAAACTACAAAAGTCCAGAAAAGAAATCCATCTTAGTAAAAATCTGGTTTGAAAGCATATAGAATTAAGGCACTGTTACCTACAATTTTATTGCAAGAGGAAGCGAAGCTACAGCCCCATATTTTCAGACTACTAAACCAATTTAACAGCATTTAAATAGACTAAAACAGGCTTCTAAAAGCTTTTTTTTTTTTTTTTTTAAGCTGACAGCATTGAACATTTCTTCACAATTCAGAAGCAAGTGGCAATATGGTTCCATGTGTAGAATCCTGTGCCCTCACCCCATGAACAGCTTGGCCTTTGTTCTTGAACTAGATCAAGCCTTTCTGTATTATACAGCTTACCAGTAAGCTGGTGCCAGTTCTTACTCAAATAGTTCAGTGATTTAAGTTTTCACAAGTTACCACACAGCTGTCCTTAAATTCTTACCACCATTTGTTAAGAAAGCCCAAAGAATGTGACAGAAAAGCAAGAAACAACCTTGTAACTTTTTACAGAACTGTGAGGAAGTGTTCTTTTTGCTTGGGGGAACTGGAAATGTGGTAGGGAAAAAGAAGGAAAAACTAAGAAAGTAATTTTAACATTAAAGTCTTTCCTCTCTTCCTAGATATTTGCTGGAGATGTCGCACGAAAGATTTCTTTATATAGAGGAAGAGTAGCAGGCATTGAATGTAAGTGGTATGCATGACAGGCATTTATTTCTTTTCTTAAATCTGTAACAAAATGGCTTAAAATAGACATCTGGTAGTTGAAACCTTTTCCACATTTTAAATGCAAAATTATTCCAATAAAAAGATATTATTTACATTTAATTTCATATTCTAGAAAGACTGAGTGGGTACAAAAATAAGTGCTACAATGTGAACACCTTCTACTAACTCCATGCTAAATCCTAACCGATTTTATAGAGCTATTGGAACTACACCAACGCTATTCAGTTGATTATAGCTACTGATACTTTGAGAAAGCAAAACCACCCAAAAATGGAGTGAAACCAATTAGGGCTCACCCACTACCGACAAGTGCACTTGGTAGCTATCATATCTTCATACTCTTTATAGACTATGGAGCCATCAGGCTCTATGGTTAGAACGCTCAGTGGGCTGTATTCGGCAGGAACACAGGAGGGCTTTGGAACAGAGGAGTCTAATTTCTCATATATTATGTTCTGTACCATTGTGTGTACAGGAGAGCCATAACGATGCCCAACAACCCTTGGGCAGTCACCTTTGCAATACTGAGGGCTGTACCTGTGTGGTGCTATTATCCATTTGTCCCATTTTAGTTGGCTAAAGCTTAGTCGGAAGTTGTGAAGCTCACACTCGTTTTGAGGGAACAGAAATTGTTTGAAATACTCGCTCAAATTATAAGGTGGAGCTGCTGGTGCTTCTTTCAGATTCTCAGCTCTTCGATGTCGAGAGGCCCTTTTACCCTGTGAATTCTCTTTTCCTTTGTCACCCGTAGGATCAATACGTAGACTGTTCCTTTGCCTGGGCCGCACTGGGTTTTTCCTTCTGTGTCTAAGTGAGTTCCACCTGTGATAAGCTTGCTCACTGGTATCATTCAGATAAAGAAGAAGAGAAGGGGGAACCAGTGCCCTGTTAATGGAATTTTCCAGTTCAGTGTTCTGTTGTGGATCACCCATCAGACAAGTGAAGTTCACAGCCATATGAATATTCCTCCTGTTAGTAGCAATTAGGGGCTGGAGAAAAGAAGTCACATCAATCTCAACCCACTTGCGCTTTCTAACTTCAAAGTGCAGGCTAAAAGCTATAGAGTGTGAGATGCTGGGACATACTTGGCTAGAAAAATCATGCTCCTTAACAGATAAATGGCACATGCAGGTAATGGAAGAAGAAATGGGAACTGATGTGTCAAAGGAATAGAGCAAGACAGACTTGAGTAAGTGCTCTAGAGCAGTAACACGATCCAGGTTGAAGAGTAAATCCACCGAGTGAACATCTCCTGAGAAGGGAAACAAAAATCTTGTAGAGTTAGTGCATCTCAATTTTCCACCTAGACATAAATACTATCACATAGTGGATAAGTAGAAATAATTCAGCAGCAGCCAATTTAGGTGCCCTCCCTTTCTTTTATTACATGGAATTCCTACTTTGGTCAAGGACATAACATTTAAAAGTAAAGACAGCAAAACCAAGAAAACCCAAGCTTTTAAGAGGTATTAGAATTAATTTCGTTAAAAAAACAGTACAGGAGGAAGTTAGCAGTTGTCTTTTCAGTGTTAATATGGGGAAACAGGAACTAAACACTCCACATTATACAAGCCATGAAATGAAATAGATGAAGTTTTAAAGTGAATTCTTTCAGAGCTTTTTAGCATTAACTCTAATTATTCTCCCTACTCATATTTTTCCTATTAATCTCTTGATCAGCAGCTGCCAGCAAGTCTGAGTAATAGCAAGGCAGAAATTTATTTATTAGCACTACTTTAAAAAAAAATAATCATTCTTTCATGAGTGTAACTTTGCTTTTCTTTTATAAAATAGAACCAGAGCTTCCAAGTTATTCTGAATGCACATTTCTGTCTCATTCACCCCTCCCATAAAATACACTACTCTTCCCTTTTTCCCCTGCTGTAAAGAATTTTCTGGCATTCTTTGAATTTGCTCCAATTTTGATCTTATTTTAGATTGATGAACTAATTTCTTGGCCTGTTTTCCAGATGTGGACATAGCATATGTTCAATATTTTTTTTATTACTCACCACTGTATTTTTTTGTAAATTAAAAATTGTTCATTTTTGACCATACAAATGCATTAAGTGATCTCTTCAAACTTATATAGGCCAAATAACAAGAAATCAGATGAGGGCTCTGTAGACCTTGATAAACTGAATTTTTCTAAAATCATGAATAGCCTCAATGATTGTAGGAAGTTAGTTCAGATTCTGACTGCTACTTTAATTATGACTACATTTAGGATATATAATCATGAGATTAACTGTTAATTGTGAGTATATTTCTGAATTAGTAGATTATACTATACAAGGCAATTTTAGTCATAGACATTGATTTATTTATTTTTTTTAATTTCTTTTATTTTTCCATAATGAATACTTCTTAACTGAACCTCAATCTCAAAGTGCTGTTACTATGCACAAGTATGATGTTTGTGTTTAAGGTTATCTGTCTTTCCAGTTGAACAAATCCAAGTCAGGAGTACTCGGATCACTTGTCAGCAGTCACATAAGCAGAATTAAAGGCCAAGAATTTCTAGCTGCTGTTGCTGTGACCAGCCCACATTTAAGAGAACCACAGTAAGTTGCATGGTAAGTTACAAAGTACCCAGTCATCCTAGT